TTAACGTTTACGGGTTGTCGTACTTACTATAACATGAAACGACCAGTACAAACAGCAAACGATCAAAGATAATGTGAAGCGACAAGGAACTGGGCAGAAAACAAACAGGAAACGATATTTGTGAGACGTAAGCTGCTTTGATGGATTTCATGTTGAGAAAAGAATATTTATTATATTATCAATGTAAAACATAGCATTTTCCTTCACAAATTAATCTAATTATAGCCATTCCTGAGTTCCTTTGTCATCGGACTTTAAGTTTACAAAATTTAGTTTCACAAATGGTTTGTTTTGTCAAGGGATAGGCACCAAAAGGGGTAATGAAAAAATCATGAAATTAATATTTTCATACGAGTTCCTTTACAATTGGCATAAATACGTATATAATATCCAATGGGGTTACAACGGGCAACTACACCCCGCCCTTCATGGTTCGGACCCCCATTTGTACCACCACTTCATTTCTAATGAAAATTTCGATAAGAGTTTTATATGTTTTTCACCTAAAATATGTGTCAGATTGCACCAAAACAATTATATTTTTCTAAAACTTTCTCCCGCCTATGACGTTTCCACAAAGCTGCCTTATTTTGCTTGAAAGTTGTCCTCCAAGTCTCAGGTGGCAGGCGCTGACACTGGAGACTTGGAGGACAACTTTCAAGCAAAATAAGGCAAAAAACGATTTCGAATTCACAGAAGATGATGCATTTTCAATCACAATCAAGGTAAGCAAGTCAGAGCAGAAGGGCAACAACTCTAGTATTAACCCAAAACGAACCACAAGGTCTTCCTGTTACTCGAAACATCGGTATACTATCATTTACATATACATTGATACAGAGTGACATTTCTTTGAAGTTTGAGATTTATCTCGCGTGAAATTAGCTAAAAGGCACACAGTGCTCTTTGATGTTGGTCAGATATGCTATGTTCATGGGTCATATCTATAACATGGACATAAATCAAAATTATTCATGAGCACTCTATGGTTTATATTCATGTAAAAGTAAATTGATACAGATGATAAAGATCTTTCTCAAATGGTAATATATGTGCTCTTTCAGGGTTGTTACCGTTAACGTTGCCTCTTCCTGTGCGGCTTTTAGCGGCTGTGGGTTAAATTTCGATCGGATAGTGATAGTCTGATGATCTTGAATAAGTCATCTTCACTCATAATTGCAGTCGACCCAGCTGTAAATTGGTACGGATAATCCGGTTAACCTAAGTTATTATCCTGGTTAAATATAGTTGTTTCTTTTCTTCTTTTTCGAACAAATTTAAAAATTTGAATTTTGTATGGTTTTTGGTCTAAAAAATGTGCCAGAATGCATCTAATTAATTTTCGTCGGGGAGAACCCTTTCAGACGCTTCATGGGAGGTTTGCTTCTATACACTTGCACGGAGCTGACGCAGTATTTGGCAGTTGGCCTCTATTAAGTCAGTCTGCCCCTTACATGTACCACCAGTCTCGAGAGGCTAGCTCCGCCAATGCGTATTATGTGGACAGAATCGCTCGTTGTTACCATATTATGTTATTGTGTTGGACAATGTATCTTTAAGTGTACTACTCCCACACATTTCTCCTTAATTTGATACATTTATTTTTGATAATGATAAAAAGGAATTATTAATTTATGAGTCTGCTATGTTGTACTAGGTCATTAGAATGGTCTATCTTTTCCATTCAAAGCAGATCATTTCTCACATTAATGTGTATTGTAATAGAAATTGTCGCCATTATAGCAACATATATAGACGCTATATTATATAGAATTATGTATTGCTTTTCGGGCTGGGTTAATGATTTTTTAGGGATGACTAAGGACTTGGCCTACTAATGTAATTCATTGTATTATCTTGTTAACTATACTCATATGTAATTCCAGACATACACAACCGCAACACCAATTGCAGTATGGTGGTCTTAGATGTAGAAAAAGACACTATTTCAAATTGTCCATATAGCTCAAAGGTCATTTTCGGGAGAATTTATGTTACATTACATGTAACATACAAAGGTTTATTGTTTCATCATCACAAACTTATTCTAATATCACTGTCAATACTATTTTAAAACTAATTCACAAAAATATAATAATCAATAAAATTCGATTCACCGAAGAAAGTCGAAAGTATTTATATTAGAAGCTTTAGCTGATGAACTCCACATTACGTGAGAAAAACGTTTTTGAAATAGGAACACCCCATCTTCACAATATTCACCTTTTACGAAATATGTCTTAAACCTAGAATATTTATTCTCTTTCTTTCCACAGTCTGCTTGACTGTATTCGGTAGCGTACAATCAAATGTCTGCATTACCTAAATGCATCACAAAAGGTGGCTATTGTAGTCAATGTGTCAGACGCATTTCGTAATACCATGACAATGTAAAGATGAGGAACACCTATTATTATGTGATTTTGGTGGTGGGTATCGCATGAACCAGTTGAAGGATTGAGATTAGAAAGAAAGGGTTCACTTTATTAGCCGAACCTTGAGTAGGTCTTTAGGACAAGAATACAGGAAATCGTGGAGACAATCAGTAATGGTGTTAGTTGGAACTTTCCTTCTTAATGAAGCGTTAATTTGATCCAAATCAATAGTCACCATTTTCTTCTATCCCATTCGTTTGACAACTGACTCATTAACTGAATCAAATCTGACAAGGATAATAACAGTTGCCAATGATAATATGCAATATGAATTCTATTACGTAGGCAATATGTGAATTTTGACATGTCAAATTTAATAGTATAATAATAAATTGAATCCAGTCTTCTATGTTTATGAAATTTCACGTTGCAGATTCATATTACTATTATCATATTGGAAGTGTCATTTTGTGTGGGAAAAGGCTTCTGATTTCACGCGGTGAACTCACATCTTATAGTGACAGTTCCACATTCAAGTCTTTAAAACTTGAGATAGGTTGGAATGGTAAAAAACAAACGACTTACAAGTATTAGTACTTGCAGAAAAACAATGCATTTTATTTTACGATCAAACCTTTATGCTTAATAGGTTCTTGAATACTTTTGGGTTGACCTTCTTTGCTCTTTAGCTTAAATTATGTTTCACCAATGTCAGATTATATAATGCATCACAAATACTTTTTTTAATACTTTGATATATAATATTGTGTGATAGAGATATAGGCTTTGTTGGAAGAGCTAATGGATAGTTAAAAGCCTACATATAAGAAGAATTAATCCCACGAAACACGGTTTCTTGTGCACAACATTTCGTAATTACTCATAAAGTGGAGTAGATATTCAAATTCACAGACCGTTCTGTAAACATACATCACACTGAATGTCTGAACATAAATCCTAAATCAGATTCAGACATATTTTGTTGAGCGAATCTGATCACCCATAAATACTTTATAAGGCTGTTTTATTTCTTTCAAACAAATTGCTAATTCGAAGGATAGGTTTCAGATAACTCATGTTTGTCCTCTTTTATTACCAAATGATGTTTGTAGTATAGATAATGATTACGTATGTGTCTGTATTACATCTATGAAATTTCATGAATAATTGGCATCCCATCAAATTTCCCAAAAAAACTATGCAAGTTTTTGATAAAAACACACCCTATCTGAAAAACCGCCCAGTAAATATAAAATTTATGTTAAAAACCCAGTTTTGAAAGTATGCTTATTGAAACGGAAAAACTATCTAGCGTACTAAGCACCGTTTGTAAATTTAGTGATACTTCCTTGATGTAAACAAAGAAATCTGAAAGCAAAATTTCAAAATATAAAGAGCACTTACTTGTTTCGTATAGATATGTAAGTTGCTGCAGGTTGCATATTGATATATTAATACATGCATTTAAGGCACATATTACATATGCATTTTTGTGGTGTATAAGAAAACTAGTAAATTAAGGGATATAGCCGTCTAGTCTATAATACGGATGGGGAAAATTGGAAATAATCAAAGTTTTTCGACACTCGCCAGATCGCAAGTATGGTTCACAGAGTGGGACGGTCGATTGATAATGGTCAGACAAAATTTTCTTCAAAGCGTTCCCGTCTTAATTAGGCCAATCAATTGCAACAATGTAAGAATTCTTTGCAATTTTATTTGTAGGCTTTAATTGTAGACGCATCAGATCTCAGGTGTGTAATTTGACAGTTCAATCTGTAATTTGACCGGTTTATCATATGAAAAGTTAATTAATTTGACAACTGTATCCCTTCTATCGCTGTTGACATTTATCATAAATCAACTCAATCAAGCAAGTATTAAAGCATCCAGCTTTGTGTCACATAAAGAATGACACGCACTTGCATGGGCTATATTGCAGGCTGCATCCTGTTGCGCGTGACAGGAAGGTTTTACTCATTAATAAAATCATATACATGTAATACAATTTGTATGACCTCTTTAAACAATAAAATTATTTAAAGTAGGTCTGCCTTCAATCCTTTACCAATAGTTATTAATAATTTCGCTCTATTGCCACCATAATTATCACCAATTATGTTTATCACTTCCTCTGAAAAGGAAACTAAATTCAATAAACTTTTTAGGGGGTCGAAATTAAGTTCGAAAATAGTTTTAACAAATGCAGAAATATTATGAAAATCTGATGGTTCATGAAAAGATTAAAACGATCTTTCAAAGAATCAAAAATGGAAATGGAAATTAAAAATTTAAAATTTTCTTACATTTATATTTTCAATGACAGATGTTTCTTGATGCTTTTTGCGCTGGAACATGGTGTATTGCTAAAAAATTTGTTCATTGAAATTTCTGGATTGTGGTCCTTTAACTAGAGTAAGCTGTTACTTATTTTGTATTTATTACTGAGCTACTGTAAACAGCTGTAAGTAGATATATTCACAATCTCGTCAATTAGAGAATAAATATTAATATCAATATAACTGTATACCATATGTGATTAAATTCAATATGTCACGTGGATGATGTCAGCTGACCTACTTAAAGTCAATATTAATATACTTTAATACATATTTTTGAATACAGCTACATGTTTATGGTATGCAAATTTAAATTTTACGACGAAACATAAAGTATTTATGACGGATCAATGACGTGTAACAATTTTTTCTGGTGTTGTAAGACCTTAATATTTGTTGACAAATCAATATTACCTGTATGCTAATTCCCTAGTTCTGGTGCATAAAGTTTGGTTACAATTGTTGGCTTTAGAGATTTTTTTGGGATCGTATCTACCTTAATTTCAGGATTGATTCTTCATTGGCAGAAATGTATGTGTTATAAGATATGGATTAGATAAATTGTTGTTGTTTTGTTATTGTATATAAGGTGGTATTGTTATTATATTGTATAATTAAGTAAGTATTTTTTTTTTGAATAAATTTTGTACCTAGTTTCTTGATGCTGTTTGGTATTAATGTACAATTGCAACACAAAATTTTCTTGCAATTAGACTATTTGGTTGTTGGATGTTGCAAATACTGGAGATTTAGTATTTACAATCTGGCATATGTAATTTCATAAGTCGTTTAGAAAGATAATTAGGCCAAAAACAAACAAAAAATGCCTGTTCAATCCACATTAAGCTAAAAAAACGGGAAGCTTTTTACAAGTCTTTCAAAACAGGAATATTCCATTTTAAAGAACAGAACGAAGCAGACAAATAATGCGTTCGAAACTTGACTTTTTGAGCACGAATTGGTCAATTGATTTTTGTGATTGTAACACAATGAAAATATGTATTTGTATTGATTACATTGTGTGTATGTTTTTTTACCTAGATCTAGAGTATGGGTGGTGTACTAGGTTTGTTTAAACCAGAGCTAAGTGATTTCCAGAAAAAGAAATTGATGCATGAATTTTACACCTTCTTTGGTAAGTATGAATCATTCTGAATATTTAATTCTGAATTCGTTTTCAAATATACACGTATACAGAGTCACTGGACATTTTAATTTCTATCACAAAGTGACTTGAGCACGTATTAAGTGAGATAAGAAGGTTTAAATTGTCCACATAAAAAGTTCCAAATATGTCCAAAAAATTCTAGAAATTTAGAGTAAAAGCCGACGAAAATTTCATTGCCAGAAGCAGTTCGTGAAGAGACATACGTACAAATGTAGAATCAATTTCTCATCTGGCAATTTTCTCCGATTCCAGATTTGAATAAAGATGGTAAATTAGAATGGAAAGATTTTGATCTGGCTAGACAGGTAAATTGAAACGACGAGTTTATCACCCAGATCTGTCATGAGAAACCACACTAACAGAATCCATTCTCATTGCTTTTACATTGGAAATCTCAAATTTTGTGCATGCTTAATGTACTTTAGTGCAATAGATTCTTATATTAGAAGTATTGCAAGTGAAATTTAATTTGTTGATAATGGAATGATAAAATTGAAGACAGGTTTAAACTAATAGATTTTCCATCTAAAACTCTGTGGAGTACATTAACCCCTGAACCACTTAAGTCTTGTGGTGACAGTTTGTATCAAATATTTCGCATGGGCGATATAAACTTACAGCTACTACGAACGGCTTTGAGTAGTAAATGAAGAGAGTATTGCTAGAAATAACATATACGACTATGGCTACAAAAGTCCTTAGAGATCTAAGTAGGAGTCCCAACTAATAATCGGCTGCAACAGACAGATACAACTACTGCAGTAAGTGACTGCAATAGACATAGATACTGGACGCTGGTATTCATTTCAATGCATCAGTACTCTATAGCAACCACTTTAATTTTTTTCCAGAAAGTATGTGAAATGAGTGGTTGGAAAGTTGGAACTAAAAAATACATCCATACACAAGAGACGTTTATCCAGATTTGGAGAAAACTTCAAGATGATGGTGACAGTAACTGTGATGGAGTTATTTCTACAGATGAATGGGTAAGGAACTCATCTCTTACATTATAAGGCTGTCCGAAAAAAGTTTTGGGTACGTATAAAAACAATATGAAAGATCTAAACTGAATTTTGCATTTAAATTCTCATTGTAATGAAGGTAGAGATTAGCCTCATGCAAGGATCTGAAGTACCAGTGGCTTAACTAAATGAGTCGGGGCCGTTGGCTGAAGTGGATTTTGTTTTTAACATGCCCCATGTAAGTCAATTTAATGCCTGTTAATGGAATATTTAGAAATGTTCAGTCTGTTGTTAATGCATTTCGCTAATTTATATATCGCTGGTTGCTTAATATGATTATAACTGTATACTTTAGTGGAAGCCCCCTTAAGGATTGGAGCCCGCAAACTAGGTTCAACCAGATCCATGGTAGTTGTGCTACTGCCTAGTTAAAAATGCTCCCGAAACGGACGAAGTTTCCACCAATCGAATGTTCTGTTCAGTAAAACCTTTGGCGACCTTTGACGGGAACTTGATAGTTAAGTATAAAATAAAGACCTTCGACTGAATTGATTGAAGAAGGACGTGTAAGATCTTCGAATGGTCGAAGTAACCCGCTTTAAAACAACATCTGGAGTCGGATTTAAGTCAAATTGTCACATTTGTCCTTCTTCTTTTAGCTGAAGATGTGGGAACACTTTAATGCAGAATGTGCCAAATCAGCGCAAAACACCAATGAAAATGGGAGTGGTATGAAAATACCAGGATGGCTTGAGAAATATATAGAATATAAATTTAATCTCTATGATCGAACAGGTAAAGCGAGGAAGGTCTTTTTTACTCTCATATAAAGATTCAAAGATTCGAACTAAAAATGTATGTGGGTCCATTCTTGCTTCTTATAACCCATCCTGCTAATGTCAACGTATTAGGTATTTTTCCTTGACAAATATACGTACATTGAAGAGTGCATATCAATATCTGCTCACAGATTCATGTCAGGTTAGGATCACGCAAGATTAACCAATGAAGACAGCACCTTTTGAGTTACCTTTGTATTACAAAATAACTTATATTCAACAATCTCGTCTCGAACATGTACATTCACGAATATTGCCCTTCAAAGCCAATTTGTTAATCTAATTGTGAAATTATATCAGATGCTAAATGATTTTTGTCTAGATTTGTTGTCTCCAGGCGTGAATAATTTTTACATGGGCAAATTAATCTTAAATATAAGACATTCGACATGATTGTAATTCAAATGGATACACATGTACAAAAGCCTCATTTCGAATTCGACCAAAAATTTGTTCAAAGAAGTAAAAATATGAGTATGATAACTGTTAAATATATTGTTTATTTGATGTCAAAGTTGGCTACCGTTTGAAGTTACCGAAAGCGTTGCGGTGAAACAGATAACTGACTTTACTGGTTTATCCCTATAAGGTTGCTATAGTTCCTTCCTTACTATAATACAACTTAATCCAGTGGATAGTATAGTGTCTTATTAAAGGTATAAACGCATAATGGTTATATTTGAGAGAGGGGGGGGGGGGGTCTTTGGCAATTTCTCCCAGCTGGCTAGAACGCATAATCATGCTTTCGTCTGTTAATAGATAGGCATGAAAACCCGAGAAACGTCCATTAGGTTTGCATCTGTGGCGACATTACTTGGGCTTGTGGGATTACTCTGGGATACAGATAACTTTCAAGTCTTTGTGCCATTCTTTCAGGAGATGGTGTTGTAGATTTAGAAGAATATGAATATGTTTTATCCGATTTTGGAGTTCCTCCTAAAGATGCCCGAGCTGCCTTCCTCATGTTTTCAGGGGTAAGTTCGATTTCTAATGGATTTCAAAGACTGGTCTCTGTATGTGTATGAGGACACATAGCTTACGCCTTTTCCGATCCAACGTTCTTCGAAAAAAAATACAATACAAAATACAATTTCCAGCGATTTTTCTTGAATTACTTTAGCCACAAACGACGATCGGGATGTTGGAATCATGATTTTAGAAGCTAAAACTTCGTCGACACACAAATATTATTTTAAAATATTTTTCCGGTGTTAATTTTAATAAACATCTATATGGTACGGTCATGTGTTGTTAATACCTTTTTTTAAAAATAAACGTAACACATTTGGTAATAAACTTTTGTGGACGAGTCTTTTGGTTTGCAGACAAGTATTAACTGTCGACGAGTTGACTCAACACCACCTACAGAGGCAAGGACCCTTTCTTGAATTCTTTTATTGATTTTTTTTTCAAATCTTGGAAAAGTATTTTTAGAACCTCTAGAAACCAATGTTTTCATTCTATTTTCAGAATCATGAGAAGAAAATAGATTTAGAATATTTCACCATTTTATCAGCGGAATATTTCCGTTCAGACGATGCCGGTGCCTTGGGTAACTTTATTACTGGTAAATTAACATTCGATGATTGAAGGAGATTACTGATAATTTTGTTTTGGACACAACTACCATCTTGACAATGGCAAGCTATTATGACCTTAGGTTTACATCTTGATTCCAATGACTGCGTTTCTTGTATCACAGAAGCTTGCACATGCAGTGATTTGATTGGATTGTACACTAGCGAATACAGAGAATCAGAGGCGTCTACAAAAAGACTGTCGACACACAGGCATAATTTTCTGTCGTGGGCTCTGATTGGCTGTATTCGCTGGCGTACAATCAAATCAAATCGCTGCATCCCGTGATACAGGAGTCAAGGTATAAGCCTTGTGAAGATGCACGACTACATGGTTTGGACAAAATTACTGTGTGTGGTTAAAAAAAAAAAATAAGCCACGAATTTCTACGTCATTCGAGTCAACAAACGATTATAATTTTGATATTTTTAAAGACTTTATTTTCGTTCATGGGTAAAAGTTTTAGAGTTATTCCAAGCAAAGGGTCAACAAAAGGAACTGGTATTAAATTCTCTGATATGTTCTGTATTTGGGTTACAGTTTGATATAATAGAGGAAATGGTTTTAAATGCCAAGGCTCAATTAAATTTTGAAGTCACACTACAACAAGGTTCTACTAAGTATTTACTTTTAAAATGTGTGCTATACTTAATATTTGCAAGTTTTCTGTTCTATTAAAGATTTTTTTCTATTTAATTAGCTGTGATTTTTAATTATTCACCTCTCAGGTTTGGGACATAAAAAAAAAACATTTCCTTTATATATATAATTGAATTTTATTCATGTTTCTTTAATGCTTAATGATAATTTTCCAGTTACTGGTTCTAAATTGAAACAATAACTCAAAAATATATACATGTATTGATTTCAAAACAAGCTAAAATAATACCTGAATAACATTGAGACGATATATGAATAGATATATATGTAGCATAATTATACAGAGCTATTCTTTATTTGGAATCATTCATTTAGTCCAATCTTACTGCTTAACTATTAACAATATCATTGCGAAAGTTACAAATTTTTATTTGATGAAAAGTACAGCTATTCTGAGTAAAATTAAGCTATTATGATGCTCTATCGCAATCATTTTTAAATACAAAATCTGGTTTCAGAGAGGACCCTTCTAAAATTCAGTAAAAAACAATATCACAGCAAAACAAATGTTCAAGTCAGTTATATTAAAATAACCATGCCTATTGAATATGGAAATATAACAGACCAAACTGTAACATATTGTCCCTCTGGTAAATTAAACACTAAGCCGATTTTGATTTAGTTTCTGTGATTGTGATATAATCTAAAATGGTGATCAACGATTTTCCTGTAACACTATCATTTGTTTTATACCGAATCATATTTATATACAGCGATCAGTGAGTTTCTACCAAATTCTACCGTCAGCATAAGCAGGATGGGCTAATCTATAAGCATGTCTTTTCCATGATTCCTCTGTGTTGTGTAAAATAAGTTGTCTGTGTGCTGCCTCGTCTATCTTTCTCTGTTTTAATCTTTCTTCCATATCTTTTCTGTAGAAAGAAATTTCAAAAATTATAACGACCCCAGGGAGAAAATGACGTAATTATATTTAAGTCATTATAGAGGTCATAGTTCGCCGATTAGAGAAAGACTCAATAAAAGAAGAGTATTATTTTAACTTCAAACGCAGATAATTCTGCACACACATGGATTTGAAGGCTCAAATTTTCAAAGGTTTGCTGTGAACACTATTATTTCTGATTAGCTTAGCTATCAAAATTCCCGTTTCTGACTCCATAAATTGAATGAATAAATCAGATTATGTTTAGCATTCACAGACTAGAGTTCAATGCCTCAAAAATTTACCTTGACATCAAATAAGGTAACAACAAACACAAACCTTGCTTTTTGTTCGGCTTCTAAACTGGCTGAATCATGGAGTTTAACTTGTATTCTTGAAATCAGAAAGGGTTGACCAAATATTTTCGCCTGTCCAAAATACAACAACTTAATATAAATATACAAGAAGAATTTGACGAATTATCAACTTTTGATATATCTATATAAGTCTATATCAAAACCTATAGCTAAAAAATAGTGTCATGGGGTTCAACATGCTTTCTTCCAAACCTATTCCTGATTCCCTAGATCATCTTCACAATGTCAAGCTATTACGCACTGTATCTAATATCTTGACTGCAATAGCCACCATTCTTGTATCAGAGTATGCAGAGATTGATTTGTACACTAGCAAAAACAGCCAATCAGAGCCCTCGACTGAAAAACTGGCTTATATTTAACAGACTTTCTATCGAGACCTCCGATTGGCTGTATTCGCTATCATACAATCCAATTAAATCGCTACATTTACAGATGTTCATTATAGCTTGACGTAAAGAAGGTGGAATTAAAAAAGAAACCCAATTCCTACCTCTCCCTGTTGAAAGAATTGAATAGCTTTTTCTACAGACTTGGCATCTGACATCAACACCCATCCTATACCACTGTTGTTTCTACTCACCGGGTCCTGATAAATAGAACATATTTGTCATATCTCATATAGTAATATTTTGCTTATATATTAACAGAACTTACAACATGTCAACTTGTCAATTTCCATGTAATCCTATAGCTTTGTTTTCTAATTGAAGCGTCAGCTTATATATTGTATGGATTCTTTTACAAATTGAGAAGAAAGATAATTTCTTTGTAAACCTCCTCCATGAAGTGTCTAGCACATACAATTCTTTTAACAACAGTATTGGATGTACAGCCCAACCAGTTACAGCACTTTACATATTGTTATAACATCAGTAATTTCTCTGCTTCAGATCTGAAGATTGATGTCTTGCATTCTTTACCTTGACATGCAAAAATGTCATGAATACACAACCTTTCCCATTTTTCTGTCAATCTAGTATATGGTTACGGATAATTTGAGAAAGATTGTAGCAAAAATTCAGACTATGGACCAGTAGAAAGAATTTTTAAAATGATCAAACTTGTGAAATAGAAAGCTTCTTCTTCTCCATTGGTTTCTCACCTTCATAAGACAGATTTCATCAACATTACAATCAGCTTCCATTTCAAATATAGCTTCTAATTTATTCACAGTAGCATTACCAGGTAAATTACTTAAATATAATCCTACATCTCTTTTATCAGATAACTATTTAAAAAAATTAAACAAATATTATCTCCCTTGAAGTGTATTCTAAAAAATACTGACCTACATATGTACAGTTGTTAATTATTAAATATATATTACCTCCCTTGAAGTGTCTAAAATACTGATCTACATCTGTAGAGTTGTTAATTATTAAATATATATTACCTCCCTTGATGTGTCTAAAATACTAACCTACATCTGTACAGTTGTTAAGTATTAAATATATATTACCTCCCTTGAAGTGTCTAAAATACTGACCTACATCTGTACAGTTAATTATAAACATTACCTGCCTTGAAATGTATTCCAAAATACTGACCTACATCTGAACAGTTGTTAATTATTAAACATATATTACCTCCCTTGAATTCTGACCTACATGTGACTCAGATTGGATAACGCTTGGCACCTTAGCTACAACTTCAATGGGCTGACTTTCTGTACAGAGAGTAAAGGCTTAAATTATCCATTTTAGCAGAATATGAGGTAGAGTCGAACTTTATCTCTTCTGCTTTGGGCAAAATCCATGAATATCTCAGCCTTTTGACATATCTATACTTTTGACATCGCAAGAACAGTGATGTTTCGCCAACTTCTTAATATAATAGCGATTCCAGACAGATCCTAATGTCGGTAGTAGGCCATCTACGTTTATGGCATACAAAAGTCATTGGTATTCTAAACAACCTGTGAGATATCAATATGAAATCATTTTACAATTTGATTCCTTTATTGATTTTTGTTGTTTTTTTTTTTTTCAATGAATCTTGGTAATCTGTAGAGAAGCAAATCCACGATTTATCCAATGAATGATGAGAAAATAAGCTCGCTAGATCAAGGGTTAGAAATAGGCTAGGCTTGCAGAACCTTGAAAAATGAAGATGACCAAAAGCATTATTGAGGAAGTTTTACACATCTAAATTAACTTCATTATGACGTATTGTTCCGATGACATCATTTCAATTGTCATCAGTGATTGTTCTGAATTTAACAGAAAACAGCAGCATTTTGACTTTCTCTGACAATTTTCACAAAATTATCATATATTCCTGATAAATATCAAATATTTTGATAATTAAGGTGAGTTTTTAACATATCTTTACTGTGTTCATGATATTTTAGCAATACTATATACACTTGTAGTAAGTTGTAACACTCTGAACACTTGAAGTCTTGGAACTTTTATTGAATGAAATTCAGACAAAAACATCAGATAATGGTCGTATTATTATCTTCTTAGTCAAATTGTCCATTGTTTCTTATCGTCCAATGAGAATGGCATCGATTAATCCCAGACTTCCATCTTCATCAAGACTTTCCTTATGGTGGAATTTTCAGAAAGAGTCTAGCAGAAACTATGCAAGAAGTCAACAAGTGGACAAGACTCAGGATTATAAGTCATGCATGCGTTCCAGATCTACCGAAGCAAAATGACAACAAAGGAACGACTTGCTAAGCAAAACGCAGTTAGTTGGCTTACTCCTAATGGATCTTTACGGTTTTTGCTTTGTGCTGCAGAACTGGAAATGTCTGACAATCTGCCAAAAATAATTCCAAAATGTAATAATGAAGAACTTGGGAAACAAATAAAACAAAAGAACCAACATTTAGATTTGTCACAGTATCTGATAATACATAAACCTGTTAATTATAAATATTACCTCCCTTGAAGTGTGTTGGAAAATACTGACCTACATCTGTAATTTATAAATATTACCTCCCTTGGAAGTTGTACCGGTAATTAATTCTTTGTCAATCAATAATAGCATCCAAGTAGGATTTGCAAGACGTTCGGGCATAATATGATTTGTTTGTTCTGATATTTTCTGACATTTCGGCCAATGAGTTATAGGTTTGTTCATTATGAAACATTATTATTAAAATTAGCAACAGGCCTATTAAATGTTAAAATGTAATGTAATGATGAAGAACATGGGAAACAAATAAAACAAAAGAACCAACATTTAGATTTGTCACAGTATATGATAATAGAAAAACCTGTTCTGGATATATCTAAATTCTTCATTAACAGATCTGACGACCAGGGTGATTGGAATGGCAGCAATGATGACTCAGGAGAAATAAGACCGATTGTAAATTTAGATGCCGTTGAAGAGGATGGAAACGCGAAAGACCTGTGTATTTATTTATAGTATTAACTATAGTATCATCAGAAGCTATCTGATCGGGATGAGCTGCGAAAATATCAGAAACAAGCATCATACATTGTGCATGATTTTGATTGAATTGTTAATGAATTGTTTGGTGGGTGACAAATGCATTTGAGATACTTTCACTTTATTTTCACACGTTTATTAATTTAAGGCAATAATTCTTATATGATTTATATCACCCAATTAATAAATTGATATCTTTTAAGATTTCGGGAAAGAAATCATTCAAGTTTCACAGATTGTGAAGAAGTTTGAAAGAATTGAAGAAAAGAATTGTGCGACTTTTTACCATATTTACAGAATGTTTTATCTTGAAAGCAGAACAGTAAACCATTAAGATGTTTGACGGATTACAAATTCTATCTAACGTTTAAAGACGTGGATCCGCAACTGTTGGACATTACTCGACCACAGGAAATGTATACAGTTTAGGAACTAGGGTTACTATGTGACAAAGTATATTTATATTAATTTATATAACGAACTAAATATTTATTTTCCAGTGAAAGTTTATTATTGATTTTTGATTTTCTCTTTAATAGTGAATGTGAACTTGACCTAAGGTCAGGCCTGTAGATAGCCCAGGGTGTCGGTTCGGGGGCGCAAAAATGTCTTAGGGGGCCTATGTAGGCATCTATTAACCTACATCTGTACAATTATTGTTGATAACAAAGCATTGCGGATCTTGTCTCCCTTGAAGTGTGTAGGAAAATACTGACCTATATCTGTACAGTTGTTAATTATAAATATTAACTCCCTTGAAGTGTAATCTAAAATACTGACCTACATATGTACACTTGTAATTTATAAACATTACCTCCCTTGAAGTGTGCAGGAAGATGCTGACCTGTATCTGTGCAGTTGTAATTTGTAAACATTACCTCCCTTGAAGTGTGTAGGAAAATACTGACCTACATCTATACAGTTGTTAATTATAAATATTACCTCCCTTGAAGTGTGTTGGAAAATACTGACCTACATCTATACAGTTGTTAATTATAAATATTACCTCCCTTGAAGTGTGTTGGAAAATACTGACCTACATCTGTAATTTATAAATATTACCTCCCTTGAAGATGTAATTAAATCTTTGTCAATCAATAATAGCATCCAAGTAGGATTTGCAAGACGTTCGGGCTTAACATCATTTGTTTGTTCTGATATTTTCTGACATATCGCCAATGAGTTACAGGTTTGTTCAATATGAAACATTATTATTACAATTAGCAACAGGCCTTTTAGCCTCAGCAGAGCTCAGGCATCAATGAATTGAATTGAATGAAACCATAATAAAACCACCATTATGAAACTTCATTGTGTTTTTACCTGAAGCCAAGATGGTACCTCTCTATCTTTATTACTACCAGTTATCATATTAAATTCTACATTAGATAATATACATTCTCCATCTTCTATTCAAATAATAAGACAATTATTTATATACTTCTGTTGAGTTAATTAAAATAATCAAGCTCCAGTTTATATGAAATGTTGTTATAGCAATACAATTTACAATGTTAACCTTGTTTCTCTAAATTCAGTTATGTAGGTCAGAAGTACAAATATTTTAAAGGGAGAGGGTGGCAAGTTTCTAGGTTTTAGTCTTAAATATATGTAAATAGTCTTCAGAAATACTAGAAATGTACAAAAATCGCATAACTCCTTCAAAATACCTCAAACTAAGATTAGATTTCTTAAGAAAAGATGCATCATCATTTTAACTTTCACAGAAAAGATAATTCTAGACACACATGAATTTGAAGGCTAAAAAAATTTCGACCATGAGCTGTAAACACTATTACTGATTAGCTTAGCTAAAAGGTCCTGTTTCTGATACTAGGGTACAATTAGTCAAATGGATGGTGAATCCGTCTCTTCAATTGATGATTTAAAAGTTAGTTCAATGGGTTGTTTCTGTACTGTTACATATCAGTAAATTACAAATTCTTTTTAAACTCATGTCATTAAAACAAACTAAAAAACAAATCTGATTTAATCATTGAATCGAAAGTAGTGGAATTTAAATAACACTTACTGTATCCTTTTAAATGTGAGGCAATCTCCATAACTTGAGAGAAAGTGAGATAGAGCAGTTGTCTTGATGATAGATCTGTTACTATGGCAGGACAATCTAACTTGTAGATAATTTCCCCTAAATGGACGAAAAAAGACAAAATTAATGCAAAACTTTATTCATGTTTACTAATTATAAATATCATGCATAAGGTTAAAAAAACATGACTTGCCACAATTACCCTTAGCTATGAGTTTTCCTGGTAGCATAGGACCAAATTTATTTCTCACATTTTTTCTTAGGACATTTCTTGATCAATATATTTTATCAATCCAAATTTTTTATAATTTTTTTTTTCTCATCTTAGGGACAAATGTCAAGTCAAAAAGTTCAGAAATTTTAAAAACTCCCAATACAAGAAACAAAGTTCAGAATTTATATAAAACTCCCAATACAAGAAACAAAGTTCAGAATTTATATAAAACTCCCAATACAAGAAACAAAGTTCAGAATTAAAAGAAAAAAACCAATACATGACAGTAAGTTCAGAATTTAAAAAAAAGCACCCAATACAAGAAACAAAGTTCAGAATTAAAAAAAGAAACCAATACAAGCCACAAAGTTCAGAATGTTTCAAAAACTCTCAATACATGCCACAAAGTTCAAAATTGAAAAAAAAAACTCCCAATACAAACCACAAAGAATTTTTAACTAGCACAACCAGCAGTGGCGTTTTTAGTGGGGGTCCCCTTAACAATTCTGTGGCCCCTACTCAATTTCTCCATCTAATGATTCATAGAAATGACAATGGCAACCAAGCTTTCAATTATAAACATATAACATACCTGTATGTCCCCCTAATGATGAGATATTAATATGAATACCAGATTGTAGTATATTAGGTAATGGGCTACAACCTGTTTCTATTGTATTGTCTTTAATATTCACTTTATAGCCTATGGATGATAGGAAAAATAATTAAAATGATACACAAGTAAGCAAGTGTTCAAAACTCACCCACACACACAAAAAGAAGGCTTGCTCATTTTTTCTTTCATTTCATATCAATTCATCATTCCACCTAAATAGTATATACCATTTCATTCATTCATTCCATTTAATCACTACAAAATTTAGTGGTTGTAAAGCATACTCATTTTACTGAAACACCTCATACCACTTTGCAACTGTGGTTTTCAACTACACACCTCTTCAAAAGAGCTTACGATCTTAAGTATATAATATAAACTGTCCTACCTAATTTGGTAGCTATTTTCATTCCAATATCATTGACTTGACTTTCTTCAAAACTTGTCCTCTGTTTATCAATATATAGTGTATTTAATATAGAGGTTGGTGTGATACATGATACAATTGTTATAATACCTTCACTACCTAATAAAATAAACATTCATTTCAGAATGAAAATCAATGGAAATAAAGCTGAATTATTTGTCATATTCACAATGAGGTCTGGAAGTCAAGGCAATAAAATATTTCAATTCAAAATTGTTGTTCTGCTAATGAACTAAATCTTAAACATAGATGTTTTAATAGATCTGTTCTAACTGTACTTGTCTCACATCTTCTCCAAGCAAAGTCCATTCAGTAATAAACTTATTCATAACCAAGGCTGGAAATATTGTGTTGGTCATCTAGTTCCCACCCTCAACAAAAAAATTGACTTCTCCACACATGCATATTTTCTATTTATATGAAACAGTGTAAGTGTATGTTTGGAGGAGCTCATTTGTAAAATTTGGGATGTTTTTTGTTGCATGTCAAATAACATCTACCCTTATTCATGACCATTCAGAATTTAAATTGCACTGATACTGCTTTTTGATCATTATTATTTACCTGTGTTAAAAGAATCTATCCTATATGTAGTTGTATCAAGACAGATTCAGAATATATATGTATATATTACCTATGTTATTTGATTGTAGGTTGATACTGTGTAATAATGTTTTATAACCTTTAGTAGAATATAACCTAACTATTTCACTTGGTGTTTTATTATTTAACTAGAAAAATACATAATTCAATAAAAATATTTCCTTATCATAACCATAATAACACATTTTAATACACCATAATTTCTACAGATTGTAGCTTTAATGTTAAAAGTCAATTCAATTTCAAATCTTAAAATAAGTGTTTTGAGCTTGAAAATGATTTTTGTTTTTAGAGAAAATTGAGAAGATCTCATCTTACACTGTCCACAAAAATGTTCAACAGTTCAGTTTAAATAAATAAGCCTAGTATACAAACTCATTGAACAAAATATATAGAAGCAGGGATACCAAGGTGTCAAAAATCAGATTATGCCAGCTTGGTTTGGAATTGATGTTATATTTCAACTACATGTATATAAACTTGATGAAGAACAACATGTGAACTCATTGAACGAGACATGTAGTAAAGAGAGTTGACTGAACCTGATTATTTGAGAGATCTAAGACAGCCAAAGGGTAGTTTGAAACTTGCAGTAGATTCTTCACAAATGTAGATGTAAACTCATCAGTTAGCCTATTAGCTGATAATTTTAACATGTGTAATTTTAAGCCTTTTCCCATAGCTTGACAAAATGGAACTAAATCTTCATCTGCTAACTGACATCCATCAAAACTAATAGCTGTTATATGACTTGAAGGTAGTGCAGCTGTAATAAAACTATAGTGTAAACAAACAGAACAGATTTACTACAACCATTGTTGTATTGTGAATTATGAAATATATCAGTTAAAAGGTGGAACTCTCTGATAAAAGAGTTATGTCCCATTAGTCTCCAAAATAGAATAAATACAGTATACAAAATTAGGCTGGTGACAGTTTGAATAATGAAATAATAAATTCTATTGATATACTCTTTCTCTTGCACATGGTTTCCCCCTGAAAATCCCTTGTATTTGGAATTTTGTTAAGAATTTGGAGTAGGTCAAAATCCTGGGACTAACAGACAATAAGATTGAGTAATTTTTTGACATTTCTTTGAAGTTGACAAAGATAATGGTAAATAAAATTTTAAAAATTCCACTTACAACAGAAGTCATTAAAAGCTGGAGTACCAGACAATTTTAAACCATCTAATACTAATGTAGTTATAGGTAGTTCTTTGTTCTGTACCAATACTGACAAACAAGTTAAACCAGCCATACTCACTTTACATTTTCGTAGATTTAAATAATTCAATTGAGTCCAATTAGTTTTCAAATTATTGGCTATATCTTCTATATCATTTAGACCATAACTTAATCTTTTTATGGAACTCTTCTTACTGTCACCTTCAGGAGAAATGTTTTTATTCATTTACATTAAACTACAAGCAAAGAATCGAGACAAAATGCTTCTTGTTCAAATTTTCTTGGCAAGTAATGTAATAATTTAAACAACATATGGATTTATAGAAAGTTTTATGCAGACCAAAAGATGTTACAAAATGGCAACAAGAGAATTCTTATTTTCCATTTAGGAAAAATAAAAGAAATTGAACTGTACATGCTAGACTAAACACACATTACCACTAAAACTATCTGGAGACAAAATGGATTGTTCATGTTGAATGTTCCTAATATTATAATATATTTGCTAGCCATGATTGATTACAGAACTAAACTGTGCATTAGTCTAACTCTTCTGGATGCTTTCAGTGGAATAGGCAATTTCTGTGAATTTTGCATAAGTATACAACAACATCAAAGCAACATCAAAGATTTTCAAAGAGAAGTATGTATTTACCACTAGTAAGTTTATAGATATCTAATAAACATGTGACTTTTAAATCAGGATTGTTACCAATGTCAAGTTCAGTTAAATTTGTTAATTTTCCACTCAACTGTTGAGCTAACAAACTGAATAACTCATTTGTTAGTTTACTGGAATTAAGTTTCAGTATTTCTAGAGCAGATACAGTTGATGTCTGAATATCTACAAAAAAAATACCAGAAATTCAATATATATAACTATGGCAACAAGAAAACATATTTCTAATTCACTCAAGTGTTTCAGATTCACAATCTTCATCAGGACAGCTAGTTTTGGTATTGGGATTAACATTCCAAAATTGAATTGATTTAGAGGCTTAAAGTTGAAGTAAAAAGATTGATTTTTTAGTATTAATTAGTACTAATTTAATGAATTCAATTCAATTTGACATTTTACTAGACAAGAGAAAAGAGTTTAGTCATGTAAAGATATTTGTGAACATCTAGGGACAAACCGCTTGTATTAAGGTTTTGAATTGTTTCCGAAATTTCACAAATACCTTTGCCTGAATATAGTAAAAAGTTGGTTTTCAAAACATGATATATAATTTAATAAAATATCCCCAAAAGAACAATTTTCAAGCCTTGGTCAGCACTTTTTGTCTTCCACAAACATGCTCTGTCCCCTTTGTGCCTAATATATAGGAAAGACTGTTTGTTCTCATTAACTAACGCTTATATATATCTTTTGTAGTCTTGATTGTAGGAAAGAGTTATCTCCCATTAGTCTCCAGAAGAGAAATTCAAATCTTTACTACCTTTTCTTTGTAATGTTATATCAGACAATCTGGCATCAGTAATTGACAGATAGCTCAGAGTTTTAAGTTGAAAACAGCACAATATAACTTCATAGAATGTCTGTAGACTACCAAACTGAAATTCAAAGATAATGCCACATTGTTAATGATCAAGAAATACCAATATGAAATAAAAATATTTCTTCCAAATATTTAGAAAAAATTATGCTAGTCATTTGGTTCAAAAACCAAAAAAATCTTCAGGAATTATGTAGATATGGAAAATACAACCAACAACGTTTTTTTCCCTGAAAGTGTCAATAAATATATATACTGACCTCATTTCCACTCATATTCAAATGAGTTAAAGTGATGTTTCCCTGTAATCCTTGTAGTAATAGTTTAATACCATCAGGGTTCATATTACAATTACTAATATTGATACTGTATAATTTGGTACTGCTTTTCTGCTCAAACAAAATTTTTTTTAAATATGTAGAATGCATACAGAAAGATTCAAGAATATCATCATAAGACTTTACAACAGACCCTATATTTGATACAAAAACCAGAAGTCTAGAGGTCTAGGTTACAATATATCTAGGTTATGATATACTCTTGAGCTAATGAATACATTAAACACAATGCAGTTTGCCTTGATGGCCATTTTTCAATGACACCTACATATTCTGTTGACTGATCTTTGTGCATCATTATCTTTGTTCAACTTTAATACTGTGATGATGATGACTAATAAACAATAACAATAATACATACCTGTAAACAAACAGCTAGATATTTTCCAATACAGGTTCTATCTGTTATCTGATTATTACTGATATTAAAATCTTCTAGACTGTTATTCTCCTGTAAACTTTCTAGTAATAACTTCATATCTACACTACCAATACTCTCAGCTCTGTTCAAATTATATAATGTTACAGTACTGTACTTCACAGGTCAAAAGTTATAAAAGATATTGTGCTTTTCTAAATTATATATATCCCAACAATCGCTGGGATCAGAAATGAAATAAATGTGATACTCTGCAGTATGCAATGTGTAAACTTTCATAAGCATACTTTTATTCCAACTTTTATTCAATTCCAAAGGGATATTTAATATGCACAGCCTGTAGTTTGTTATCACACCCAAACAACCATGGTTGTTTTCATGGCTGGTACTACTTTTTTACCACTTTCTTTCATGCGCAAAGTAATCAAGATTGAACAAAACAAGATATAAGACAAAGAAAAAAATGTTTAATGTTATAAGTTACCTTAAAGTCAACAGTGATGAGTTAGTTTTCAAGGCAGGGCCAACACATCTTGAAAAATAATCTTTACCTAAATTATTGCCTGATACATCTAAATATTGTAAAGTTTTATTTTCTTTCAACATCATTCCAATGCATGCCTGGAACGTGAATATATAGGCCTTAAGTTAAGTTGGTTGAATATTCATACATTGTCATTGTCTTGCCCTTTCCTATAATCACCAATTTATCTTTTACATCAAGACTTAAATATTTCTGGAACTCATGTCATCTTTCCTTCACATTTTGTTAACATCATTGCAAATAGTTAAAATTAATAATCTTCTGGAGGACAACTTCTTACTAAATATATTTTGACTTCATATTCTTATAATCAGATATCCATTTTCCATAGTCAAATAAATACTCACAGCAGAATCTGTATCAGCTCTATTATCAGATAAATTCAAGCTGATTATAGTCATATTATTACTCATAGCTAGACATACAGCACGGAAAGCTTGAGGTCCCATATTATTATGAGATAGATCTAAAACCTGCAAAATATACAAAGGCCTACATATACAATCATGTGCAGTGATTTTGCATGCACAAAAATTTCATGTGGTGGGGACAACTTTTTAATTTGAGATGCGGCAACTATGTGGAAGCGAATAAGTGTAAACCTCCCATTGAAAGTTTGAGAGCAGAAATTGTACAAACAAGATGTTTTCGTGTTAATTTTGCATAAATTGTCAATGATTTGTAGACTGGAACAGATAAAAATTAGCTTTAACTACAGCTAAATTTTGACCAAGTCGAAAAGTTTTAATGACCTTTTCAAAAGAGGACCTATGATCATATAAACAGACTGGCTTACCTTCAAGTTAGTTAGATTATTCAATAATTTAGTCAAGTTGATTGTGGATGGTAATGACTGATGAAGATGAAGTTGAGATACTTTACCATTGGCTAATTTATACAGATTATCAGGATTAACTAAGAGATTAACACATTTAATCCCATTATCAAAACTCTTCTGATCTTTATCTTCTGGTGAAGTTGAGGCTGACATCTTCTTAAAATCAGTGGATGAGACCTATCAATATAAGTTTTCGGAATTATTCTTTACTTCAAAGCCTCTCTATCAGTTTAGAAGTAGGCCAACTCTATTTTGAGGAAATTCCTCTGACATTTGGATATTACAACCTATTGGACTGAATATTCCCAATTATTTGCCAGTGACTGTTCATCATGGACAAATGTTCATTTCATGTGGTATACATTGATAGTTCTGCTTTCTGTTTCAGATGTAAAATTGGTCCCAAAGTTTAAATGAAAAGTTACAAATACTGTAAGCTTACTGTTTTTCTGCAGAGGACTGAAGTCAAAGAGAGATGACTTAAATTAGTCCACTGCACTGAGCTGAAGGCATATTTTATGTGATTCTGTAAATGCAAAAAGACAATGGCATGCGATCATATAACTATACTTAAAAATAAAATGGAGAAAATAAACAAGATAGAATAAAAGCTAAATAAAATCATACTTCTGCGACTACAAATACTAAGTTATCATTAATTCATAGTCGACCTTCCTTTTTTATTCTGTTACCAATGAAAACAATAAAGCTAGATTAAGAGTTATGCCCCTTACACCGTAGGCTTGATTATCACACAAAAATTTTCTTTACGCTGTCAAAAGTCTAGCAGACAGCCTTTATCTGCCAAAAGGAAAACAAACAACACGGGAACAAAGAAAACAATTTCTTTTCTTGGGTGCTAAGAAAAAATGGAAAGTTTGATATTGTTGAAACGAACTCTTACAGCAGAATGGCTACAAACGAAACATAAAGAAAATAAGCAGCCTCACATTTGCAAAAAAGAAACAAGGGAAGAGTTTCTGAAAAGAATAGAAACCTTGATAAATGGAATTATTGATGCTTTAGACAATGGTGAAGCTCCAGTTTTACAGTATGTTAATTATAGAGATTGGGACACAATTGAGTACAAAAATGGGGAATATTTACAGCCAACAGAAAAGAAAAAAATGTCATATATTCGCTATGATGATGCAAAATCTTTAAAGAAATTTAGTCTTATCATCAAAGTTTTATCTGTCATTTACAAACAATTGCAAGAAAATAAATTTTGCACTAAAAGAGACTTATATTATCAAGATCCTGAAGCTTTTGGCAAACAAAATGTCTTGGATGGAATTGTTGATAATATTGCTGCTATTCTTGATGTGCCAAGATGGGAACTGAATGTCTTAGCTTCATGCAAAGGTGCTATTGCAGGGGATTTACAGTTCTGCAATGAAAATGGTCTTCATATTGATTGTCGAGATACAAAATTGGGTGTTCAAGTTCCAGCGCATAAGAAAGATATGGTAGATCTCAGGACAGAAGCTCAATTTTTGCTAATTGTCGAAAAGGATGCCACTTTTCAAAAGTTAATTGAGAATAAATTTTGTGAAAAACATGCTCCATGTATTCTAATAACTGCAAAAGGATTTCCAGATTTGGGAACTAGACTTCTGCTGAGATTATTATGGGAACAGTACCAACTTCCAATGTTTGCCCTAGTTGATTGTGATCCTCATGGTTTTGAAATAATGGCAGTTTATCGGTTTGGCTCCAAAGCACATGCAAGTGAAAACCATCTTTTGACTGTTCCAGCAATAAAATGGTTAGGAATTCTACCGTCAGAAATTCCTTGTTTGAATATTCCACATTCAAGCTTGATCAAAATGACTTCAAAAGATCAAGATAAAACTGCTCAGCTACTGACAAGACCTTATGTGAAATTAAACTGGAAAATGGAAGCAGAAATTCAGAAGATGTTCCAAATGGGTTATAAAGCTGAAATTCAATGTTTGGATTCTTTAAGCTCTAGTTATTTATGTGATGTCTATTTACCATGTAAAATAGCAAATTCAAGCTGGATATAAGCAAAATGTTATTTGGTTATGTTTTGTCTGAAATTTAAATTCAATTGATATATTTTGTGACTAATATTACTTAGTTTTTTTTCCATATTATTTTGAATGATCTGTATATATATATATAAATGCAGGAAAACTTTCTTACTACTGGCTGAGTGTAGCTCCTGAAAGATGGGACTTGTGTCTCAGAAAACAAATAGGCCAAATTCTCAAACTAAAGAAGAAAATTCATGAGAATTAAGGAGAATTCAATTAAATGGGCTTCATAATTCAAAGATACCATATCCAGACCCCCTTTCCTTAAGATTTCCAGCTTCAGGGGTGTTAAATGCTTTACAATCTCCTGGAAGAGTGCTGACATCAAAGACAAATTGCTTGAGGATGTTTAAGTATAAAGGCAAATATTGTGTAAGAAATGTTTAATAAATACAGCACATCACACAATGTATAATAATATAATAATAATAGATCTATAAAATAACAGTTTTACTAAAAATAATACAGTCATTCTACTCAACCAACAAATAGCAGAACTTAAAAACACTTTAATCAGGATCACTGAACATGAAGCAACTCAAAGTAAGGCATGACTATCAAAAATATTAAAGGAATACTACCTCTTAGAATGGACATAAAATTTAAAGTCTCAAACTTGATCAACAAGTATATATATTCATCAGTTGGCCTTAAAAAATAGAGAATTCTGCCTAGTTTTGACATCAGGTAAATCCACTGATGAACAAAAGACTCATTTTGGCTATGTTTAAACATTTCAATTTTTTTGGTCATCCTAAGAGGTAGTATACCTTTAATTAGATCATAGACAACAGTTCTCCAATTATGGGGTTAGAATCTTCCAAATTTGACATTTATCAGCCAAATTTATGCTATATTAACTACATCAGTTATATTTGAGCTTTGCTCCATCATCTACCAAAATCTATAGCCATCAACTTAATAGCACAATAATTTACCACAAAAAATTCAGAAAAGTGGAATAAAAAATCCAGAAAGCTTTCGGTTTGTGCGGTTGTACGAAATTTTCATAACCAATCAAAACCAAAACAAGTACCAGTACCTATGAATAACAAATTAAAAGATCTCTAACAAGGGATTTTGTGGTAAAATACAACATATATTATCTGTCCATTCAAATATAATGAGAAACTGAAGACTTTTTGAATAAAATACAGAAGCTGCCTTTAATAAAGCTTATAAAACTTGAAATGTTAGTCCTAGTGAGTTACAAACAGATTCACAACAACTACAGTTCAGTTCATTAACAAATACAAATTGTTACCCACAACATTAACAATTAACAAATTTAAAAGCTGAATCAGCATTACTGATTGATGATCTTTAGAATTTGAAATGCCCCTAACAGAATATTAGCGAAAAGAGAAATATATGATCATTTATGTTTGTATATCTACCTATTCTATCTTAGTTCATGAACCTTTTTAAGGAATCAAGTTAAGTAAATATTTGATTTACCAACTTATTCGATTTCAGCCATCTATATCACCTTTCAGAATTTCAATCAAGTTTCAGGTTGTCCTGATATTCAGCAAACTTATTAAGTTGACATCACATCCAGACCAGAATTCATGATATCTCATACAGATACAGATATTACTATATCACACTTCTTTACATTTTAAATGTAACAGCCTTATTCCACTGTGTCATTGTTATATTGCAGCAGACCTAGAAGTTGGATTTATGTTCTGAAAAGTGATACATTTGGCTGAAACTGAGCTATCAATTAGTAATACACACATCTTAACAACTATATCCCTTCTCATAACATCTATTTAAAAACATTGCCTTTCTGTCATTAGATATCGATTACCTTAGCTTTTTGAAATTTAAAATGAAAAATATGTGATAAAATCAAAAATATTACATCTCTGACACAAATACAAGATAGTTGCTCTTAAACAAAAGATCAGGAAAGGAATATAGATATCAATAACTTTTTTTTTTTAAGTTTTAAAGATTTTTTTGACAATATACATCTAAAACATCAGTGTTCAGAGATTTTCGTTTACAACTTAGGTTAAAAAGCAAAAATGGATGGAAGAATTTGGCACAAAATGAGAATGTATAAAAAATGGGTGATGATAAGCAAAAAGTACAATAATGTCATAATGAGTTAAAGATGAATTAAAAGATGACAAATGTTACAAATCTTTAAAACCTACAGCAATATAATTTACAATATAGTATTGCAAGAAAATTTTGTAGACGTAACTATGCGACCAGAATCAAATCAGAATTAACTCAGGTATATCAATTGGTAAACCACACAATTAGACAGTATAATCAAAAGAGTTAACAAACAAATAATTTGGCTCATCTGGAGCCAGCTCCGAAAATGAAAACTGCTTCAAAAAGAAAGCACAAGAATGTTCTTGTCTATAAATTTCAAATATCAAAAAATTAAAGCTTAACTTACTATTAGCTCTAGATATAGTTGTCTTATCATAAGTTTTACCAGCTGACAGAGCTTATTTGTGCATTTTTAATTCAGCTCTTACATCCAGATATATAATTAGACAACTCTTAATTCAAAAAGAGCCATAAGCCATATTTTTACAGTACAATATATGACAAGGAAGACACACTAACAGACAATTCTAAAAGTAACTACAATTAATAAATTCTTAAATTTTGATTTAATTTCCAATAACTCAATAAACATTTCAATGTCAACAAAAATGATACCGGTATGGTTTGGAACATGGCTATTTTTAAGTAATGATGCGACAACAATAAGCTGAATAAAAGCTTAATTCATAACATGATTGTTTAAGTTATGACTAATTTTGATCCCTTACTTTTTTCTGTGGGTCAATGCCATTCATATTGTAATGAGTAAAAACCCACAGATAAAAAATGAAACCAAATATCTTGAGCTGAATATCAATAAACTGTTACAGGTTACATACAGTTTTATCTTCAAACTTCTAAAAATATCCAAGTTTGTTGTCAAAAAGTTCTTTTTAAAATGCAATTTGTTCTAATAAATGCATGAATCAGCTTTGTAAATATAAACTTCAAAATCCTGTTTGACAAAACAATTACAATGTAGAGTTAGCCTGGAATAAATCTTTTGAAATCTCAATCACATTCAATTATACAAATATTTGAGAATTGGAGCAAAAGTAACAATCAATCCTTTTCAAGTAAATTTTATAAATTTACAATAAATGTTTCTTAATATAACTATCAGAACATAACTGCCAAAAGATTGTAAGATTCATGGATTAATGCTTGACAAATATATGTCAACTTATTCAAAAGATGACAATCATATTGAATCGCCAAAAACCCCTTACGAGCTTAGGGATTAAAAGGAATAAATTGAATATGAGAGAATTATGCTTTTTATTTGATTATTTATTATCTTTGATGCTCAAAATCACTCACTTGAAACTTACTCATGATATTACTTGATATTGATAAAGTATCAACTTGAAAGTCTAGCACTCTTACTGTAAGTTATGTCTGATGATGATGTTAATGATGATGATGATGATGTTTGATCAGAGACTGTTGGTAATGTTGAATGAAGGTTCTCAATGTTTAAATCATCATGAGAAAAATATTGTCCATCTAAATTTAAAATATCTAAATATGGTGGAAGATCTATATCTGTGATTCCAGTAGTTTGATCAATAGTGGTAGATCTCAGCTCAGTAGTTGTACCATCACAGAACACATTTGAAGATTTTGAATTGGGTTTTTGTATGATATTACTCAGGTCTATATTCGGAGCACTTCCAATATAATTCACATTTGGCAAGTCTAATGTTAAATAGGAACCATTTTGTAAAGCATCAGTTCCATTTTGAAATTCGGCAATAAATTGGTTTTGTGATGTAAGGGATCTAGAATCGATAAAAATTTGTCCAGAAACAGCTTGTAAACTTTCTATGTCATCAGTATCAAGTGTTTTGGAACCAATTTGAAGTAAACCAGCAGGAGAATCTAAATTAATATCTGCTGAGATATCATACAATGTCTTATCACCATCCAGTGGTTTACACAACTGTTTAGGTGATGGAGTTTGTACTTTTTCATGAAGTAAAGCTAGCTGGTATGAAAATGGATAAACTTTAGACAAAACAGGTTCAGCTTGTGCAGTTGGAGTGTCTTCGGTCAAAATTCTTGTCAACAATTGAGATGATTCACTTGTAGGAGTAGTATCCAACTGTGTTACTTGTTGACTTGAAGGTTGAGTCACATTCGGCTGTTTCTTTTGCTTATTCCTTTTCATCTGTTTCAGTGCTTCTTCGTATGATGGTGGTTTAATAACTTCAGGCAGTGCTTGTGGTCTACTCAAAGAAGAGTTCCTTTGATGGGAAATGTTTTCCTTTGGTTTGGGAGAAACAATAATCCTGTCATCATCAGGTGTGGAGCAACTTAAACTTGGACTTCGTTGTATAGGAGATTCAGATTGCAACTGCATTGAGTTCACCAAAGATAAATTTGGAGGCACAGTTTCTCCATTAGTGGTTACAACATAGTTGGTAACATTCTGTTTCAGCGACACAAATCCGCTTGGGTCTAACTGTTGAGCAAGAAGCCTCTGATGGGTCTGTAGAGCAGCTTTAGTTAGCCCTGGCGCCTTCTTCATAATGTTCAGCAATTGATTAGCAGTAGCACTAGCAGCTGCCGTACCAATACTTGCATCTGCTGCAGTAGTTACAACTGGTCTGATAGGAGTAACAATCCTTGGATTAATCATGGTGCCAACACCATTATTCAATCCATGGATTGGCACAAAAGCATTTGGGGAAGTGATATATTCAACTGGACTTGGATTGACACTACTTTGTGATAAACAATGTGGTGAAATAACAGATGAAGGTGTAGATGCAGTGCTTGGGTAATGTTGTGGTGATGCTTGGGATATAGGACTGACTATCTGTGGGTCGGTTATTATGCTGTGAGCAGATTCTGGTCTCAAATATATGTAGCTATCAGTCACAGTCACTCCTTCATTGGGTAATGGAGTAGAATTCATTATAGGGCTTGTATTAAAACTGTGGTAACCAGCATCAGAAATAGGAGTTTGAATAGTGATTTGATCGGCAGACGGCTGCCTCAATCGGCGTACAGCTTTCCTTGGTGGATTGGT